TATGGGTTCTGGTAATTGAACCCAGGTCCTCTGGAAGAGTCAGTGCTCTTAACCACTAAGCCATCTCTACCAGCATGCTGAGTTATTTCCTTTTGGTCTTTCAGAATCATTAACCTTTTTTTTCAAGAATTTTTTTTCAAGATTTATTTATTTACCATGTATATAGTGTTCTTCTTGCACATCAGGAGAGGGCACCAGATCTCATTATAGATGGTTGTGAGCCACCATGTGGTTTCTGGGAATTGAACCAGGACCTCTGGAAGAACAGCCAGTGCTCTTAACTTCTGAGCCATCTCTCCAGTCCCTCATTAACCAAGTCTTACTACAAATCTACACATAAGCCCACTGTATGAAAGACATCAGAAGGCGCTGTGGTGCGAGAAAGTAGATTTAATGCTTGTCTCTTCTGTAAGTTCTAGGTCATGTCAGGTGGAACAATGGTTAGCCCTGTGAAGGAGTAGCCGGGCTCCCGAAAGTTGAACTGTGCTGTGGAACTTTGTTTCCACTGAATGTAAAGGTCCCACCCTGCTCTCCTGTTTCTACAGCTAAAGAATACTTTGTCCCCTATCACAATGCCTTGTGGCTTCTGAGTGTTTTGAGGTTCATGGTAGTTCAGATTAGCTCTGTATCAGTACCAGAGGCACAAGCAGGAATCTCCCTTGGATGCCTTGAAACCCTGAATTCATCCCATGTTTTCTTTCTCTCCACTTCCCACAAGCAGCAACCCCAATTCTTTTGAGCTCCCCAAATCTTACAAATCAATCTTCTTCTATCCGCCCATCACCACCAAGGGCATTTTGTGAGAACTGTCTGGGCTGAGTCCCCTTATTCATCTACAGTCCTGATCCGTCTCATACACTTCCACATGTGTCTGTAACTGCACTGTCCTGTTGAAAACACCCCGCAGACCTGATTGCCATCCTACTACTCAAAGTCATTCCTGCCCTTTCTAGACTGGTCCCTGCTCCTCTCTTGTCTCTTCTCAGTCTGGCTCTGCCTAGGGATATCCATTTGCAACTCCAACCTTCCCAGACCCCTTCAGCTCCAGGTTTGAGCTCAGTGCTTCCTTCTGTGTCCAATGTTCTGCTCCCATTGGTATAACATGTGTCTCTTCCATTGGATAGCTGTCTTCTCAAGATCATTCTGAGACCCAGCAGTAAGGATGCATGCGATGGGTTCTGTGAGAAAAAAAGCCTTCTGCCTGCACCCAGCCCACATTTACTAGTAAGAGGCACAGGTGGCTCCTGGTTTCTTTCTTTCCTTAGAGGAAAAGTGAGAGATAACTTTATTACCATATATAGACGGGGTCTCATGCCCAGGTTGGCCTTGAACTCCCTATGTAACAGGATGAACTTAAATTTCTGATCCTCTTGCCTCTACCTCCTGAGTGCTGGGATTTCAGTGTATGCCACCATGTTTGGCTTATATGGTGCTAATAAGCAAACCCTGGGCCTTATGCATACTATGCAAACATTCTATTGACTGATCTGCATCCACAGACTGTTGTTCTGCTTTATTTGAAAATTGTGTATGTATGTGCGTATGGAGAGCAGAAGGCATCAGATCCCCCAGAGATGTAAGGTACCCAACAGCGGTGCTGGAAAGTGAAGTCATCAGGTCTTCTGTAAGAGCAGTATGTACTCTTAACTGCTGAGCCATATTTCCAGGCCCTCCTATTCTGTTTTTGAAACAAAGTCTTTTGTAGCCCAGGCCAACTTTGAACTTTCTATATAGCTGAGGCTGGCTTTGAACTCCTGATCCTCTTGCCTCTATCTCACGAATGCTAGGATTATAGGCATGTGTTGCCATGGCTCTCTATAATGATTCTGACTCCATGAAGATCGTATGTAGTCACATCATTTAATCACTTTATTTTATTGTGGCATTATAGGTGCTGATTTGGGAAGCAAAATAAATGACATGTATTTTTATGAAATCCAAGGTTCAGTAGGGGTAACTGACTGGAATAGCTAACTAAATTAATTAAAGCTTAAGAAAATCAACCTAAGTTGGCATCAGTGTTTACAAACACTTGGGAGGTGGAGTCAGGAAAGGTCAGGTTCAGTCTGGGAATCATGAGACCATGTCTCAAACAATCCAAAACAGAGAAAAAAAAAAGTCAAGCCATATAGTGGCTCTAACATGTTATGAACCAGGCAGAAGAGACAAAATATAAGGGTGCTCCTTGGTCTGAACGAGGACCAACACCACACAGGATGTGATGTTGCTAAGATCTTTGGATTATATGAATTTGACTCTTTTGGATACTGTATTCATTCAAAACTTTTAAGGAGGGATGTGGCAAGGAACTGTAATCTAATTTAAGGGAAAGAAGCCATCATAGGAACTGAATTCATTCATTTTCTTCCACTCAGATTTTGGTAACTCAGGCTGGCCAAAAATGACCTTGAACTTCTGATCCTCTCACCTCCATCTCCCAAGTACTGGGACTATAAGCATGCACTACCATATCTGGTTTATGGTGGCAATGGAACCTAGAACTTTGCACAAGCTAGGTGAGCATTCTAGCCAACTGAGCCCAACTCCAGTCATCCGTCTCTCCTCCCAGTTTTTCCCCCCATATATCCCAGGTTGGCTTAAACTTGATATGGGATTGAGAATGGCCCTCAACTTCTGATCCTCCTGCCTGCACTCACCATGACAAGGGTAACCATTGCCATTTTCTGTGGTATTGGGGAACAAACCCGGGGTTTCATGTATGATAGATAAATCTACTCTACTACCTGGCCTGCACCCATATCCCAGACATTTTTGGGGGGATATTTTTTATGTGTTATGAGTGTTTTGTCTGCATGCATGCATGAGCACCAAGTGTATGTCTACAGAGGTCAGACTAGGGAGTCAGGTGTCCTGGAACTGGAATTATAGATGGCTGTGAACCACCACATAAGTGCTGGGAGTTGAACTTGAGTCTTCTACAGTAACAGCAGGTGTTCTTAATTGCTGAGTCATCTCTCCAGCCCCATAAATCAATCAAGTGACCTATCAGTATTTATTATATTGGGTTTTTTTAGTTGTAAAACAGGATTGTGATTGTCTAAGACACATTTTATTTCAAAATATTTTCAGGAAGGGTGCAAGTCTGGCAGCTCTTTACATTTGCATACATAAGCTTCTCTTCTGAACATCCAGGGTATTAGCTCCAAGAGTTGTGTCTTGGCTACTTAATAGTTATCTATCTCCTAAGAGGGCAATATTCTCTTATAAAAGCATAGAACAGTTAACAAATCTAAGAAATCTAGTATCAACTTTATTGTATAGATGATAATCCAGTGTGGTTACCTTTTTCTCTGATCGTAAATTACCCAATAATATATATACACACATGCACATATTATATACATAAACACACACACATATATATATTCTATTTCCAAATTCTCTCTCTCTCTCTCTAGCCATAGCTGACCTGGTACTCACCATGTACGCAGAGCAGCTCTGACTGTCAGCAATCCCGCTTCTGCCTCCCAAGTGCTGAGATTACAGGCATGAGCCACTATATTCAGCTTTTAAATCCTTTTTATTGATCAAGATGAGCAACACAAAATTTGGTAAGTAGGCTTCCTTAAGGGGACTTATACAGGAGTTTAAGATGCAGAAAGGATCAATATATAAAATTAGGATCTTTTTTTCTTACGAATTCAAGCTAGAAGAATGTGATAATATGTTTGTATTATAAATGAACTTAGAAACTGAAAGGAAAAAAAAAGGAGAGCAAAGACTACAAATTTAAAGGTAAGAGAAAATCGCTATCTGAATTCACTGTGAAATTCTTGTTTGCTCTCAGACAGAGCAGGTCCCTGGAAAACACTGGCTATTAAGCCTCCAAATATCCTGTGTACTAGCTGTACATTGCAAGCATCCTCCTAGGAGAAACTGTGTGTGAGATGGTGAGAGGGCTACCAATCCTCATGACCTGGGTTTGATCCCCAGGACTCACAGTGGAAGGAGAACCGACTCCTCCAAGTTATCTTCCATACACCCCACCCACCTCTGCCATGTGCACACACACAGACTACTAAATGTTAATAAAAAGAAAGACAAGCTTCATGGGAAAGGAGTGAAGCCGCAGGGCTCATTCACATGGAAGTGGTCTGCAGGTCGGCACTGGTGCGCAGAGCACTACAGTTACAAATACTGGATGGCTCTGTCCTTTCCTGTTCAGCTGTCCGTTATGCACAGCTGTGACTCTCTGCCTCAGAATGACATTCATGCTTCTCATCCGGATGACTGGCCCAGAAATCTTCCTGCAACCCAGGCTGCATTCTACATCCATAAAAATAGTCACTGTCCCAAATGGTCAGCTCATTCAGAAGTATGCGACCTTGCTTCCATCCTAACTTGCTTCCCATCTCTTACAGCCAGCAGCCCATGTCCAACCCTCAAGAGGAGTTCCCTTTGCTTCTGTAACACTGAGATGACTCCAGGCCAGGGCTGTAATGGCTATATAGTGAGTGAGTTTAGCACTGCCCATCCAGACCTCTTTCTTTCTGCTTTACTCCTGTCTCTTGGGCTAATGTGGTTACCAAATAAGGAAGAAAGGCTCAGAAAGGCAAAACTTAACTTACACATATGAAAACTCATGTAGGAACAAAATGACGGACCAGTGATTCCTGACTTCTGTAATTAAACAGAAAATAAGATTTGGCCTTGTTTAAAATAGAGAACTGCAGCCAAGAAAGGTTACTGTAATTAAATTTCTACATTTGAAAACAACTTTCTCTAGGAGGTCCTAAGTAGAGTCCGCAGACTATAGCTGGCAGATCAAATTTGGAAAGTGCTTTTGTTCATCTATTGGAATACAACTGTGCTCATTTGCCTATGGTTCCGGCAGGTTTCTCATTACAATGATAATGATGAGGAAGAGGCTGAATGGTTAGGCAAAACTTAAAATATTTACTATATGGCATCTTACAGGTAAGTTTGCCAATCCTGGTCCTGGAGCAATAAAGTAAGAGACAAGGTCAAGAACAAGGTACCTGTTGACTGGCAAGTGTTTCCTTGTGACATGGCTGTTGTCACGATTTCTGTGGCTGCCTCTCTGACAGTTTGTTCCTCACTCTGTAGAAGGGTAAGGACACACCTCCAGAGTGAAAGTGTGTCCTGTAATTCTGTGAAGAAAACCAAAAGGCATTCATGTCATTTCCAGCACCACTGACATACATGTAGTAACACTGCTTTAACCACAGGTGGGAGGAGGATGTTTGTAAAGAAGCAACAGTAATTCTTTTTTGGGAGGGGGTGTCACTGTAAGACAGAAAGACCTGAGGATCAGAGTAACATTGGAACAAAGAGGACCCTGCTGGGAAAGCTTGGAAACTTTTTTTGTTCCCTGTGGGAGGAAGAAGGGCAAGGTTTTCAGAAAGGGTGGACTGTCCTACAAGGTCCCAAGCAACTCTCCCCAGTGCATGATTTATGCAACACAAATGTTTTCCACACTGTCAATCAGCACTCAGAAGGCATTTCTGTGATATCAAGGGCAGCTTGGCCTACGTATAGAGTTCTAGGACAGTCAGGGCTATATATTGAGACCCTGTTTGGGGGTGGGGGTGGAATTGAACGTTGGTGGCACATTCTAGTAATCCCTAAGTCTTGGTTATGAAGTGAGTTGAGGGACAGCTTGAGCTACATGGTGAGACCTTATCTCAAAAAACCAGAGTTCTTTGCAGAAAGTAGTTTCATGTGATTTGAGAGACAGTGAGAACTCACCAGTTCTGAAAAGCAAAGTATTCATCAATATCATATCTGGGGGCAAGAATCAAAAGTGGGAAAGGCCCATGAAAAAGGGCCCATGTTACATGTCTCTAAGGCCTATTTTCTGCTGCCATTGCCATTGGCATGGGTTCTACTAGTGACCATGTGGAAATGCTATGGACAAATAGGCAGAGTCTGCTCTGAGGAGCTTCAAGAGCCATGAGATCTATAGTATAGGTGATGAGCAGTCACAAATAAAGTTGGTCAGCTGCAGGAAGACATTGAAATGGGCTCCAGGGACAGAGTATAGGAGGGTGGAGAGAGGCAGCAGGCAGTGTGAGTGCAGGCTGTGGAGAGTCTCATTAGAGGGCAAGGGCAGCGCAACACCCAGCATGCCTTGAAAGAAAAGTCTGAGCTGAGGCCCCACCCCCTTTGCCGACAGCACCATCTGGAATTCAGTTCTTCCCTGCTCCCAGATCATGTTTACTCCTCCTCACAGACTCTATGTTCTTTTAAATTTTGAGACAGGGTTTCTAGCAGCCCAGGCTGCCTTAAGATTCACTGTGCAGTCCTAGATTAGCCTCAAACTCCTGACACCCTCCTGCTTCCACCTCCAAAGGCTGCCATTCCAGGTGTGCACTGCCAAAGAATCCATCTTGTGTTTTCCCATAACAAGATCACCTGAAACTTTAAAGAATTCCCCTCTGTAGTTCATTTCAGGCTGGCCTCAAGTCTCTGGCTGGTGGCTGTTCTTCATGAGCTTGTGGGCCACTGGCCATCACTCATATCTTTCCTTGTTTGTCATGCCGTCCTTAGCAACAGCCACTAACACAAACCAAGACTCAATCCCACAAAAGAATTTCAGGTTGTTTTACAAGTCTTACTTGTTGTGAGTGACAACGTAACCAAAGTTGTTCAGGAAAATGTACAGCTGTGCAGCAAAATAGTACTGACCTTACTGAGAGTGTGTGACACAGAAGAGGAAACACAGCACCTTTGCGAGAGGTTTCACTGTGCTGCCTAAGCCTCTCAAGTAGCTAGGACTACAGGCACAGACCACTGTGCCTGACCTAACCAAAGTTTATTAGCCTTTCCTCCTATTGCTCTGGCTTCAATGATTAAACTGTAACCATCGCCGGTGAGGTCACTTAGAAGAAAGTAGTAAAAGGACAGCAAGGAAAACTCCCCAGATAGAGGCTGCACAGGTGGGCACTTCACAGATCTAACTTAAATTTCAGTGTCACCACCTAAACACCGATTCTCCCCCAACCCTGGAAATCTGTCACTATAACAATACTGAAAGTTCCTTGTGAGGCTGGGCCCTTGCCTGATTCTTGAAGGCCAAACTTGAATGTAGTAAAGAGAAACAGAAAGTGACTGTGGTCAGGAAGAGACAGGAAGTGAGCACCCAGTGGTAATAAGACCACATGCAGAGGAGGACAGGTCTGTGCTGGAGTCTGGCTCTCTGTCCCTGGTTCTCCTTTAATTAAACCCTATGTTTATAAATTGAAACAAACTCCAAAGCAATACAATAAAAACATTAAATACATCCCCACCTCACCCATGTTCTTTGTCTTCTGAGGTTTTCCTCAGATTTCATTTTCTTTGGCATCGCTGACATGAAGCTAAACCTAGCTACTGCTCTCTAGGCATGAGAGTGGCAGTGAGGGGAGGAACCAGATTAGAAGCCAGCTCAGAGCTGCACATCCATTTGACTTTGGAATAGTGCCTTTCATATCCCAGGACTGATTTCAAGTCTAGTTCAGTGGTGAAGGGAACCATGGCCCCATGATAACATCAAAAAGAAGCCTGGCCTTTCTTAACCTCAGCAGCATGAAGTCCTGGGGAGCACTTCCCTATGTCTTTTAAGGAAGTCTTGGCTTCTTGGAAGAGAAGGTTGGGCTGAGTCTTGAAAAGCCAACAAGTCAGTCAGGCAGAGTTTATTTCTAGAGAGTTGCTTCCTACTGATGACAAACAGGCCCAAGGAAGGAGTGGCAGATGACGAGGCAGTAAGGTAGGCCAAGGATGAAACAGAAAAACACAAAGAGGAGAACAGAAAGGAACTAGTGAGCTGTGTTAAAGGATGTGTAGATTTGGCCTAGAGACAGTGGGAACCCACTCAAAGCTCTTCATCAGTGAAGCATGGAGGTACACTGATAATCCCAGTACTTGGGAGGCAAGACAGGGAAATTCCCAAGCTTGAGGTTCTCCTGGGCTATACAGGGACACTGTCTCGAATGAGAGTTTTTAATAATGGACTACCAAAAGGGTCAAATTTAAAGATAGGAAAGACTGAAAAGCTCATGGGTGTTCTGAAAAAAAAAATGTACATAGGATGGCTTGGGTGATAAGATTGAAGGGAACGAAGGCAAGCAGCTTTTGGTAAACAGCCAGAATAAGAACAAAGAGGACAGATTTGACAGTGTCCTTTCTGTTAGTCTGGAATATCTTCCTGGGTTAGTTGACCTGGGTACAGTGGGCACCCTGCTTAGTACACTTACCAAGAATGGGCTGGGGACTGGTGAGGAACAGGGGTGCGGTGCTTGTGAGGGCAGCAGCAGCCGCCAGTCTAGATGTAGTAGGAAGATGGTCTCCACAGGAGCGGACAACCAGCTGGACCCACTGCCTCAGCTCAGAGGCTAGGGAATCCTTGTTCTGAGAACACAAAAGGAGATCATGAGTGATTCTGTACCTGCAGCCTCAGGAAATACCAGCGGCTCAGGGCTCTCTCTAAGCAAAATCCACTGGTTTTGATAATAAAAGCTTTACAGGTACATAATTCACGGACTTTTTCTAAAACTTTAACTGACACTTAAGACTGTATATATCTGTGGCACACCTGTGATACTCTGACTTGTATGTGCTTTGTGTGATGTCTGGGTCAAAGTAAACACATTAGCTTCTGCAATCCACTTAAGAGCACTTTCACAAGGAAAAGTATAACACCTTTTCCTGCCACGCTCTGCCCTCTGTCCCCTATCCTGATCCTTTACTCTCTGATTCTATGGATTTGTCTAATTCTGGGCATATAATATAAATAGGGTCATATAATCTCTTGTGAGTAGCTCCTTTTCCACATATTAAGATGTTTTCTTTTCTTCTAGACAGGGTCTCCTATAGCACAGGCTAGCTGTGAACTCTTGATTCTTCTGCCTTCTACCTCCCAAGTGTTAGGATTCCAGGTATGTCCCACTACACCCAACAGATCAAGGTTTCTAAGCTTTATCTATTCCTTTTCATGGTCAAATAATATTCTACTCTGAGCTTTGACACTTGGTTTATTTTTAGCTTTTGTACTCATGTCTCACTTTTCCTATAATGGAGATTCTCATTCCATGTGAACTACTTCCTGGTATGCTTTGGAGGTTTCCTCTAAGGTCATGCTGAAATCCAACTGCTGCTGTGACATGTTATATGGGGCAAGGCGTTCTGAGCAGTGAGGGAGAGTGGGACATCATGACATTAATGGATAAATGCTGTTATCTCCAGGCTGGGCTAATCCTTATAGGAATAACTCTGCTGCACAAGCAAATTCTTCTGTTTGTCTGTCTGTACCTTTTCTTCATGCCTTCTCACCTGGTGCTACGCTCTGTCATGTCTGCAGTTATCAGGCAGTGAGAAGGCCTTCTCTGGAAAGTCTCAGAACTGGGAGAAGGAATGTCTTGTTCATGAAGCCCACCATCAGAGAACCAGAGGCAGTCTCCAAGACACTCCATCGAGGAGCTGAACCTCTCTGACTGTACCTCCTGAGCGCTGGGGCAGGAGCTCTAGAGATCTAAACTGAGGCTCTCAGCTGCTGATGCCAAAGCACAGTTCTCCCACAGAGCCCTGGCAATGTACCCCTCCATGAAAGTCCACCATTCTCTGGATTTTTCTCTCCTTAGAAAATACTTCCAGTTTCATGAGATAATACTTCATTCAAGTTCCAAACAGCTACGCTGGAGGCAGCTGGTGAAGAGCAGCCACACGGTGCCTCCGGCTTCTGCTGTCGAGACCGCTCGCTGCCTTAGAACCCGGGTTTGAGTTGTTCTGCTGTGGCTGTTTGTTTCTTCAGACAGCTGTCTCTCTATGTAGCTGGGCTCACAACTGGGGCCCTTATGCCTCAGTCTTAGAAGTGCTGGGATTACAGGGGTGGGCTTTTATTTGGTTGTAGTGCTAGGGAGGGAACCCAGGGCCTTGGGCATCCTGGACAAATGCTCTTTTTTACTTTACTGAGCTACAGTCCCAGACCTATTTATCTTTTAAGAAAATCCTGTCTTTCCATATTTCTCCTTACTTCCAAACACCGTTTTCTTCTATTTATTTTTTAAATTTTTATCTCTCTGAGTGGCCTGCGACTTAACTTTAGTCCTCAGTCGTGCCTTTGAATGACAGAGCCAAGGAATCTGCTTCCTTGCTTGCTAATGCTAACATTGGGGTTTTTACCCTGACTCAGCCTAGGACAATCTGATTTTTTAAAAAAAAATTATTTATTTATGTAAGAGTGTTCTATCTGCATGTATGCCTGCATACCAGAAGAAGGCATCAGACTGCATTATAGATAGTTGTGAGCTGTCATGTGGTTGCTGGGAATTGAACTTAGGACCTCTGGAAGAGCAGAGGATGGGATTTCATTGCCCTTCTCCCCGTCTCTCAGCTATTAAATTCATTTTGTCTCCTCTTCCACAGTGTTTCCTGAGACTAGGTACACATACACCTATGTATGTATGTATCTGTCTCACAGCATTTTCCTAGGAAGCTTACTTAGTTCCACTTCACCTTCAAAGGGCATGTGGGACAGGTAGGGCATACGTGAGACTTGGTTCAGATACAGCTCATTCACACGGCAGGCAGGGTATTTCAGCCTGGGCAATACATGATCATACTTAGCTCATTAAGTTGTAATTCTTATCCTCCCCCCTTTTAAAGATTTATTTATTTATTATATATATATAGTGTTCTACCAGAAGAGGGTACCAGATCTCATTACAGATGGTTATGAGCCATATGTAGTTGCTGTGAATAGAACTCAGAACCTCTGAAGAGCAGCCAGTGCTCTTAACCACTGAGCCATCTCTCCAGCCCGACAGCTTATTCCCTCTTAAACAATAGAAATGGGAGAAAGCAATGGGCATATATGTGCTGGGGAGGGCTTCACCCTCAGAGGCTCTAGTCAAAAATGCCTAAAACAACAGAGAAGGAAGCATGTGTTCTGAGATTTTGCAAGCGATTCCCAAAGTAAATCTCCAGTACAAGTAACATTTCTGTTGAGTTCCTGTGGTTCTGCCTCTGGGACGCTCCCTTTCACCACCAGCCTCTGGGTAAGAAAGCATCAGCACAGGGACAGAGGCAGCCTCACCTCCTCACATGTCTGTACGTGGTAGGCAATGACTTTGGAGGCAAGCTTCAGAGCAACACTCTGGATTTCAGATCTGGAAAATAAAATAAAATTAAAACACACACACACACACACACAGACACACACACACACACAGGTCCTCAACAGTTACGACATACACAAGCCAAGTTAAACATCTGAGATAAGACAGGCTCTTGTGTAACCCAAACTAGTCTCAAACTCACTATGTAGGCAAGGCTGACTTTGAATTTCTGATCCTCTGACCTCCACCTCCTTTGTGCTGGGATTACAGTTATGTGCTACCACACTGGCTTTTGTGGTGCTGGGAATCAAGTTCAGGGCTTTGCTGATGCTAGATTAACAACTAACCAACCTATATTTAACATACTTTATGCACAAATGTTTACGGATATAGTCTATAACTTTTGAAGACATAAATTCTTTACCTGTCTGTACCTGTCTGTACAACTTCTGGTTCCCTTTGGTTACTAGTGAGAAAACTTGATGCTCTTCTATTACTAGGGTTTAGAATACAGCTCCCAGGCTGAGGCTGAGAAAGAAACTCAGTATCTGAGCCCGTAAGGGAAGACAGTGAGCAGGCTCCCTCATGGTGACCTGAAGGGGTATATAGTTCACCAAGACTGCACAGGAGCATGGGGACAAACCTGTCATTGGAAGCAATATCCATAGTCCAGATCAGGAACTCCTTTGTGGAAAGGTGAACACAACATTCTGTCTGGGGAAGCCATTTACTGGGGTTCATATGATAGAGGATCTTCAGGACCTGAGTCAAATCCAACAAAACAAGGTAAAGAAATACACTGGGAAAAGTCTTGTGGTCCAGCAAGACTGTTTATAACAAGGAGGGGAATCGATTTTCAAAAGGTCCCAAAATCGACTGATTTCTTATTTCCTCTGTAACATCTTTGAGAAACTGAGGGAGGGCAGAGCAATGACAAGCTTGAGGGTCCCTGGTTCCTGACACCTGCACAGGAAGTCTATATGGTCTCATGCATGCTAGACTGAACCAGATTCCCTTTCCCTTTGCACTTCTTAGCTTTGGAACAGAATCTCACTAAGTGCTCTGAACTCACTCTGTAGCCCAGAGAGGCCCCAGCCTCCTAACTCTCTGAGATGCCAAGCCTGGAAATCTTACTTTCATCTTGACCAGGCTTTCCAGGTACCCATCTGCCTGGAATTAGGCATATCAGTTAAATTAATCTCTGAGATGTGTCCCAGCCAATGGAGGCCAGGGTGACAACAGTTGTTTCCCATGACCATTCTCCATGGTCTTTCCCTGCACTTGGAGCTTCCTGGTTTGACTGGTGTAGCTGGTTAGCTTTCCCCAGGGATCTCATCTTTACCCAAGTGCTGGCATTATAGGTGAGCTGCCATGCCTAGCTGGCATTTACATGGATTCTCATGTTTGTGTGGCGAGCACCATCTACTGTGCTGTCTCTCCACCCCCACATCTAATTCTCTATGATCTTTCCCAAGACAGAGTGGTTCAACCTATAACTGATAAATCTTTACAAGTGGTACCACTGCCTCTCCATGCTCGTCTATACATAAAGCCAAGCAACATACAGGATCCTGATCTTGTGGATGCTAAGCTACTTCCTGTTGCTCCAGATAGCACTAGCCTGACTTGCTTTTGCCATTTTTATCTTCCTGGTGGTTTCTAAACCAACGTGGGACACAGAAGGGTGTCAATGCAGCAGAGACTCTACCCGGCAGAAACATCCTGGGTGGTTTTCCTTCATCGCCAACAGCAGGAACTCTTCCCCCATATTACACAGCAAGGGATGTGGTCCCTTTTCTTCCAGTTCAGAGGACGCTGCCTTTTCCAGCAGGGTTTCCAGGGTTAACAAGCGCACTTCAGGAAAGGAAGACTCCAGTAGCCGAGGGAAAGAGAGAGGAACAGGAACCGCCTGTCCTTCAGCCTCAGCCAGCGATGCCCACACTTCAGGGATGGAGAGTTTGGTAAGGCTCTGCAGGTACTGCGGCAGGCCTGGCACCTTGAAGGTCCAGGGGAACCCTGTAACCAGCTCTGATCCCAAGACAATTCTTCTCACATCTTCCCAGAGGCCAAGATTCTCCAAAGCTAGAAAGCAAGCAAGCAAACAATCAAACAAAAACAAAAAACAACAAAAAACAGGGAGAAAGAAGTAGTATTTTCATTTGGTTTTCCAGAAAAGAATATAGGAGAGTAGGAGGCATCCCAGAAAATGAGCTCCTGCGCCCTTCTGGGCACTCAATAAATGCAGACCAGTGACCTCCTGCTCTGGAAAGTGCTCAAGGAAAAGTCCAAACTTCCTTCAGGACTCAGGTCCCTGCAAAGCACCCGAGGCTCTGGGGTGCATGCTGTGGTGACTTGACGTTCACGAGACAGCACACTTCATTGTTAGCACAATTAACAATGTCAGTTTTGTCACAACGATTTTTCTAAAACTTCACTCACTGGCCTAATTCTGCCCTCCTGATGACAGTTCTGTAAGCATCTGCCCACCATCATTTTACTCGCTCTGCTTCCTTCATTGTTATGGACTTTTCTTCCTGTTCAGCTGTACTGGCATAAGCAGTTCTCTCCCTCTCTGAACTTGAATCACAGAACAGTCTTATGCCCTGCATTATCTATCCAGTAGGGCCATTGTCCTCCCTTGATCTGGACAACAGGCTACTAGACTTCCTATTGGATCCTGATGCAGTCAGTAGAAACCCCAGTTTCCCTCCTCTTATTTGATTACAAAGAGGGGAGCTGTCTTGTACTTGGAACTTACGGTCAACTTGTTTTCTTTATTGGGTTTAATCCCTCTTAAACCTTATCTACCTGTTAAGTTTAATGTTCAAATCCCAGCACCCACATGGTAGTTCACAACTGTCTGTAACTCCAGTTCTAGGGGACACTTTAAGAGACAAGCCACGCCCACTCCCGGAGACCCCTGCCCTCCTCTTGCCATCTTGATTCTCACTGTTCCCTTTTGGCGCATGCACTCCCTCTCTCCCTCTCTGTCTCTCTCTTTCTCTTCTCCTTCTCCCCCACTCCTCTAAGTAATAAATACCCAATTCTATTCTGTATCATCTAACAAAGGCTGGGTGGCCTCAATCACAGAATGATTTAAGTATCACAACTAAATAGTTACTAACAATGTCACTAGGCCAGGCAGGAGACAGAAATGCAGGGAGTATTCATACCTGCCTCCCATCCCACTCTGAGCAGTTTCTCTCTGGTTCTAGTCATCTGCAGCTGGGTGCTGTTCTGAGGGGTTTCATCTACAAGAACATTAGGGGAACGTCATCTGACACCTTGCTGAAATTCAGTCTACGACACTACTCTCATAAGGCTATCAGGAAGGTGAATGAGTTTACCCTGGCATGGCTTACTAGGGGGCATCCAGGACACAGAGCACTAAATATCTGACATCTCAATGTCGCTCAGTGAACACTGCTGACTTTAGAGAACTATCATAAACAGGAAGCTGAGAGAGTAACTTAATGCTTAGGAAATGCTTTGAACTTAAAGAGCCATATAAACTTAAAATAAATCTAGAATTAAAACAAGGAATATTTATACAACACAAGTTCTTTAAAAAAGAAGTCCATCCTGGAAGGTATTCCAGTATGATGAGGGGATGCAGTGGTTAGCTTGAACTTCAACAAACTAGCTGCAATCACTAGAGAAGAGATTCCCAGTTGAAGAACCATATTAGATTGGCTCGTGAGTATGTCTATGGGAGATGGCCTTGATTATTAACTGGAGTGGGAAAACCCACCACTGCAGTGGCTGGGCCCTGAACTGCGTGAGAATAAACAAAGTCTGCTGAAAAAACAGTGCAAGTAGGCAGCATGGCTGGGCTCGAGCCTCTGCTCTTGACTGGGGACTCAACAAAGTTCCTGCCTTGACTTCTCTGTAGCCTGCAATTATAAACTGAAATAAACCCGTTCTTCCCTACCATTGGTGTTTTATCACAAAACAGCAATGAAGCTAGAATAGGGGCACTACCATTGGCCATACGAACCTCACCATAGGAGACAAGTATCTGTACAAGAGCAGAGAAACCCTGGCAGCTGGTAGACTCAGATCATTCTCATTGTCTAAGACTCCAATCCCAATGGAAGCGCTCCATTTCTATGATCTTTTGGTACCATTTCCTACTCTCTTCACCTACTCCATTGTAAGGATAACATTTCACTGATTGATCTGCTCCTAAAAAGAAGGTTGGAAGGATGGCTCAGAGGGCAAGAGCATTTGCTGTTCATGCAGAAGACCCAGTTTTGGATCCTAGCACTTACATACACGGTGGCTCACAACCATCTATAACTTCAATTCCAGGGGCTCCAACATCTTCTTCTGACCTCAAAGGGGCACCAGGCACTTATGTGGTGCATATACATAAATGCAAAAAACCATTCTTACACATGAAATAATAAAACTAAAAAAAAAATGTCATTAAGAGCCAAGCTTCTGGTACATGCTTTGATCCCAACAGACTGAAGGTGGAGGCAGGAGACAGCAAGAGCCAGGCCAGCCTGGGGCTACATAGGAAGACCTAATTTCAGAAAACCATACCAAACCAATAAAACCTAAATGTAGTTAAAAGCCAGACTGCTTGGATCATTTTGTATAATGTTTTGGAGGAACCTATTATCTGTGGGAGATGTTCTAGGTAGAGTGTATGGTCTCCTGGACTCGAGAGTGGGACCAGAAACAGCTTGTTTCCTCTGGAGTCTTGACAAGTACTAGGATTGGTGGGAAGCATGTTCAGGAAGGTCCCTGAGGTACAGACACTGGGTACTCAAGTCTGATTTAGACTTGACAAGGAGAACAATCTGTTATAGAAGAGTCTTAAGACTAAAGGGGAGTAAAAGCCATGCACACAATATTGAAAAGGCAACTGTCAGTCACCCAGACACATATCCAGGACTTTGAGTTGGTACTCCCCAACATCTACCCTATCTATGACCTGCAGGAGCGTACGAAGGGACTGGTCCTACAGAACCACAGCTGCAGGATCTCCATGACTCAGGCAACAGTAAGATATTCAAGAGGAGTTTTGGTGAGGGACCAGTATAGATGGTGGACCAGAAGCCAGAGGTCTTGAGTCCGACCAACAACACACTACACAATAAGCTTTCCATGTAAATCTAGTAAAGTTGTTTGGACAAAAGGGTCTGCTGCATGAAACACACCATCTCCCAGTGCTACTGAGACAAATGAAGAGGCAATGGAGAGGTGGGAAAGATGGAGTGAAGTGTTTTGTTTGTTTGTTTGTTTCTTATTTTTTCGAGACAGGGTTTCTCTGTGTAACAGTTCTGGCTGTCCTGGAACTTGCTCTGTAGACCAGGCTGTGTTTGTTGGTTTTTAAATCAATATTCTTATTTGCATTTTTATTTTTTCTTATTTTTATTATTCTTTTTAAATTTTCCATTGGGGGGACACTACAAGGGTGGAGGGTGGATATAGAGAGACTGGGAAATGAGTGGGAATGGGGTGCATGGTATGAAATTTCCAAAGAATCAATAAAAAATTATGTTAATAAAAAACCCTGAAAAGCCTATTGTCCTAAAATTGCTAGTGACTCATAAGAGTCAGTGTTGAGTATTTATGCATTATGTTCTGTTTGAGTTATTATAAAATACTGTATACCTATTATTTAACATTATAAATAAGAATTGCTTTTAAAATTGACACTGTTGGGTGTTTCTCTCCCCATTTAACAACTTATGAATTGATGTGGGATGTCCTTCTGTATATGTGTCTTGTTTTTATGGGTTGATGAATAAAGCTGTTTTGGCCAATGGCTTAGCAAAGTAAAGCCAGGTGGGAAATCCGAACAGATACACACATACACACACACACACACACACACACACACATATGTACACACACATACACACACACACACATACACATATATAAAGAGAGAGAGTACGCGGAGTTAAGGAGATGCCATATAGCCATCCAAGAAGCAAGAGGTAACAAACTATGAATCTCATGGTAAAATATAAAATAATAAAAATGGGTTAATTTAAGATATAAGTGTTAGTTAATAAGAAGCCTGAGTTAACAGGCTAAAGAGTATGTGATTAATACTAAGCCTCAGAGTGGTTATTTCATAAGTGGCTTTGGGAATAGGCGGGCAGAGAGAAACCAGTGCAGGGGACCAGAGGGATGGAGAATATTTGTAGTTACAATGAATAAGGCAGGCTCTACTATTGTTCTGTTTTTACAGATGAGTCAAGAGAAGAGACGTTAGGTTATGTGTTGGTTAGTCTTATGTCACTTGACACAGCTAGAGTTACTGGGAAGGAGGAACCACAACTGAGAAAATGCCTCTGTAAGATCTGGCTTAACAATTTCTTAATTAGTAATTGATGGGTAAGGGCCCACCCACTGAGGGTGGTGCTATGCCTGGGTTGGTGGTCCTCAAAGAAACCAGGCTGAGCAACCCATGAGCGGCAAGCCAGGATGCAGTACTCCTCTATGGCCTCGCCTCCAGGTTCCTGTACTGTTTGAACTCCTGTCCTGACTCCCTTCAATGATGAACAGTGATGTGGAACTGTAAGTCAAATAGACCTTTTCCTACCCAACTTGCTTTCAGCGATGGTATTTTATCACAGCAATAGTAACCCAACTAAGACAGGTAAAGAGAACATAAAGGCTGGAAGAAAGACCAAAAAGAATGCAATAGTTATTACTGAGAAAAGTTTAAAAAATGCCATTCGGGAGCTGTAGAGATGGCTCAATGGTTAAAGCACTTGCTGTTCTTGCAGAGACCTGAGTCCAGTTCTCAGCACTCACATCACAGCCCCTGGAGGTGGATCTGACACCTTCTTTTGGCTTCTGCAGGCAACACGTGTGCAGACACAGACACACAGACACAGACATAAATTTAAAAAGATAAAATAACTCTTTGTTGAAAAGAAGCTCTACTGAGAGCTAGGTGAGAACAGATGGAAGGAGATCTAGGACCGTCCAACGCTCTGTCTCACATCTGTACCATGAGGCAGACAGGCATCAAGCTATGCTCAAGGCACACTCTTTCCAGACTGGGTTAGAATAGAATACTATGTTACACAACAACTGTGACACAAAGGATACAC